AGCTCCTCCCGCAGGTCGGGCAGGGCCGGGGGCTCGGCGCTGTACGCCTCCTGCTTGAAGGTGGCCAACATGCAGGAGGGGGAGGACAGCGAGGAGAGCTCCATGGAGGCCAGGCCGCTCTGATGCTGTTCCAGGTTCAAAATATCCTTGACCGAGAAGGGTGTCGTTGTCACAGGGCTAGGAAACATTGCGGAGGAGAGCGGGGCAGCGGCCGGAGCCCAGGGTCATGGAAAAGTAGGTGAGGAGCAGCCAACCTGGAGCAGTGGTGGAGCGTGGGCTCACGGAGGGGGCACATAGCATTCCCGCGAGTGGCCTTGACTTGTGCACTGGAGGCAGGTAGGACCGGACCATAAGGGAAGGGAAGGAGGGACTAGTCAGTTTTTGGGTGACTTTAGCTTTCTATTGGCCAACATTGCAGTGATGGTATGAGAGATGCAAAGTTCCATGTCACCTAATATAGTAATACATCTCAAAAACATCCCCACTCATTTAAAGGGGCGGCACTGCATTTATCCAGATTTTCGCCGCTGAGTTTGTTGATCCATTAAAAAAAAAGAATCCAGAACGGCCTAATGTGTACAAAGCCACTATCTGATGCCATCTATCATACAGTCAGATTAAATAAACAGGCCGGGAGGAAACCATCAACCAAATATGTGCTGATTTCATTTTTTTTTTTTTAAGTGAGGGAACGGAGGTTTCGTTTTTAGTATTCTGCAATATCCGATCGCAGGAACTAGAAAACGGGAGTTCACTGTTGTGTGAAGCGTGCTCAAAGGGAAATCCGCCCTTAAGGCTTATACAGATATTCTGAAGCAGCCCAATGCCCGCAAAATTCAGCTGGTAGGAGAGAGCCCCTAAATAGCCCCTGCCTGTCTTTGGAGGGGGATATGCCAGTTGGGTTTCCCCCCTGCTTATTTGTAAAGCTTTCAAACAAAAGAATAACACTATCTGGGGAAAAAAAAAAAAAAAAAAAACCAATGGGGAGAAAAAAAAAAAAAAAAAAAAAAAAAAAAAAAAAAAAAGGAGGAAACCAAAAAACCCAAACCGAACATCACCAAATCTACACCCCCTCCAAAAAAAAACCCCAACAAACAAACAAACAAACAAAAAACGCATGTTGAAGGCGTTGCAAAATATACAGGGGTCCTGGGGGCAAGAGAGGAGCAAGTCAAAGCAACCGGCGGCTGGGCTGCAGGCGGGAGCTGGGGGCGAGCGGCGGTGCCGGCCGGGTCCTTGCTGACCGCAGGCCCCTGGGTTCACGGGGAAGAAGCGGGGGCTCATTAATTTCACTCGGTTGGAGTCGCTTAAATAAATCTTAGCGGCGAAGTCGCAGGTTGAGGAGGGGCGTTACTGCGCTTTCTGGCTTCAGGGGCGAGGAAAAAAAAAATAATAAAAAAAATCTCCTCCAGCGACTTCTTAGGTGCGGACCGCCCGGCCCGAGAGGCACCGGCGTCGGCTCGTGGGAAGAAGCGGGGGCTCATTAATTTCACTCGGTTGGAGTCGCTTAAATAAATCTTAGCGGCGAAGTCGCAGGTTGAGGAGGGGCGTTACTGCGCTTTCTGGCTTCAGGGGCGAGGAAAAAAAAAATAATAAAAAAAATCTCCTCCAGCGACTTCTTAGGTGCGGACCGCCCGGCCCGAGAGGCACCGGCGTCGGCTCGTCCCCTTCGGGGAGCCTAGCGGAGAAGCCCGACAGGGATGCGGTGAGTTGGGGGGTCCCTCGGCCGGGCCCTGCGGGGTCGCAGGGCGAGTTTTGCAAACCCTCTCTCCTCCTGCAGACGGCGGACACCCTCCGAGGCGGGGGAAAACGCGGGCACCTGCCCGCAGCTGCCTGCTCTGGGCTACTCCTTCCTGAGCATACCCGCTTCTGCTCCCCTCCCACTGCCCCCCGAGGTTTTGTGTCTCGGCACCCCCGTGCTCCCTTCTGGGGGATTTAGTTAAAGATATTTTTGCGGTCGATGCTGTGACTTTGGTCCCGCTCTCTGGGGACCGCTGGCCGGTGCAGCAGCAGCCCCGGCACTCGCAGCCTCTTGCCGTAGCT